GCAATGTTCTTACAGTTAAAGGATCCTGAAAGATAAATAAACTGCTGTAAAGGACCATTTGTAGGAACAAGGAAATCTATTAGTGATCTCATACCTTAGTGTCACACACACACACACACACACACACACTCTCTCTCTCTTAAGGAATGTGTGTAACATCAATGAGGTTAATAACAAAGCTAAGACGTCCAATTCAAGGTCATAAAGTTTAGCAACCAGCGTTCAAGATTTAAAGGGACATTCACTGTACATTTAATAGTTAAAGTGTCATTTTTAAACTTTCATCAAACACTTAAGCGTCTTTTAGTGTTTGCACACGGCACTTCTCTTCATACTCCTTAGTTTAAACTTATTTTACACCGAATAAAAGTCACACTTTATGTCCCTTTCAGCGCTAAACCCACTCCTACACTCAGTGTGAGACTTCCACTGCTTTCCCTGGTTACACACGTTAAGATTTAATATTTCTTTCTCACAATTTAGCTCATTGTAATTGTTTTGCATTCTCTGTGTGTGTTTTGAATCTGTTAAATGTGATAGAATGACTTCATAATGACATCTTTTAGTCTTTTCAGTTCAGCTGCCTTTTCCATTTCACACAGATCAAACTTATTTAAACTAAAACTTAAATTAGTCCGAACATTAACTTAATTTCCCCCAAATCACCTTCTGTAAGAGCCTCAACTGTAACTCCTATCAGTGTTTGAGCATCAGCGAATTATTTAATGATACATCTCCAGATTTTATAATTGTTCTCATAAGTGACTCGCTAATATTAACCCGATGTGTAAACTGATGGACTTATTTGAACTGAAGCCTATTGTTATTTAGGACTTCACTTGAATTTGCTCTTGTTAAACTTCAACCCCTTTTAGTTTTTGAACTTTACCTAAATTTACAACGTCATTCGACTTGTGCTTTATTTAAAATATGAGGCATACATCTATTTCAGACACAGAAATACATTTAAAAAGCTCCAAATACTTCAGAAGTGTTTGCAGTATTCAGCTGCCGGTACACACATTTTCTCAGTGATGTTTCTCTAGTTTTCCACATAGTCACACCGTTGTTATTATTTGTATTGACATCAAAGTGTCCCTTCTTAATGACCTTTAGAGCATGTTCTGTAAGCAGTAAATGTGGGTGTGTTTGTGTAAAGCAACAACAACCATAAAAGGATCAAAACAAACTTTAAGTTGCTGGTTACCTGGCGGACAGGTGAGAAGGAGGCGGAGGTAAAACAGCCAACCCTCGCTCAGATCAGAGTTTACAGCTCGGCTTTTGTCTGCCGACCCTGAATACGTCTGTGCCAAAGTTCAGCGCGCACACAACACGGACAATAGAAAGAAAGAAGACACTGAACTAGATGTTCTGCAGACGCTTCATCTTTCATATTGTCTGCGGCACACCTGAGAAAAGTGAAGAAAAGCACCTGAGAGTATTCAGCGAGGCAGCGAGATGTGAGTAACACAGATTTATCAAGAAATCAATGATTAAAGCAAATGTTCTCCGGCTTCTGTAATGGCTTACTTCTTAGGTTCACTTTTTGACATTGTTTTAACCCTGAGATGTTACACTAGGTTTAGACTTACATTTAACTTCACATTTTATAGTTTTATTTGGTGTGTTGAATCATCTGCTGTACTTTTCTGACCTTCAGTTTACAAATCTTGATCAACTTTAAAGGAAAATTGTGTCATTTTAGAGATTTTAACAAAGACTCATTTGTGGCAATTTCAAACTGCATGTACACATGCATTGACAGTTTCAGCGTTTTATTTATTTGTTCATTTATATTGATTATTTTATCTTACATACAGTACTGGACTTGAATTCATTTTCGAAGTTCCAGTACTTTAATTTTAATTGTATTTTTAGTTTTGTTAGAATTTGTTCTATATGCAAAATGTTTTACTTTAGCTCCTATATCAATGGTGGCATGTTTGTACTTATGGTTAAGTCTTTTTAGTCCTTTTAAAGAAAACCCATATTTTATTCCTGGATTAATGCAATGAATTGTTCATCACATAAATGTTGTGGCTGGAAAAAAATATGGAGCAGATTTGAATTACTTTACTTTGTAATGTATTATCTTGTAGTAACTACAATTTTCTAATAAATCTAGTTGGATGTCTGGATCTAAAACTGAAAGTACATTTATCAGATTCAGATTCAACTTTATTTTCATTACATAGTACAGGTACTAGTAACGAAACAGAGTTTGGCATCGGGCCAGAAGTGCAAAATAGCAGTGCAAGTGTCTACGTGATATAAATGAATAATAATAAATGGGCTATAAACAGATGCAGTATTGAAAGTATAGTATATAGACAGTATAAAGATATGAACAGATGTATACAGTGCGGTTATATTACTTATGTACATATTTAATTTACTTGATATTAATGTTTTGTTTCTTCTTTGTTTCATGTCAGCTCATCCATAGGTGATGCCATACTGAGACCTCATCATTAGTCACCATCAGTTTGACTGACATCACCATGGCGACCAGGACGGCGGAGGTCCAGCGGAGGATCGTGTCCAAAGACGGCCACAACAACGTGCGTGTCGACAACGTGGAGGGCATGGTGAAGCTGTACCTGCATGACATCTGGACCACGGTGGTGGACATGAAGTGGCGCTACAAACTCACTCTGTTCGCCTCCACCTTCGTCATGACCTGGTTCATCTTCGGGGTCATTTTCTACTTCATCGGCATGGGCAACGGGGACTTTGATCCCGACTTGAGCGCCAACCGCACGGCCTGCGTGGTGAACGTGAAGACCCTCACCGGAGCCTTCCTGTTCTCCCTGGAGTCACAGACCACCATCGGGTACGGTTTACGGTACATCTCAGAAGAGTGTCCGCTGGCCATCTTCACGCTCGTGGCTCAGCTCGTCATCACCGGCCTGGCTGAGATCTTCGTCACCGGGGCCTTTCTAGCCAAACTGGCCCGCCCAAAGAAAAGAGCGGAGACCATCAAGTTCAGTAAGTCTGCGGTGATCTGCCGGCGTGCCGGGAAATTGTGTCTGATGGTGAGGGTGGCCAACATGAGGAAGAGTCTTCTGATCCAGTGCCAGCTGACGGGGAAATTCCTCCAGTCCAACGTCACGGAGGAAGGTGAGAAGACGCAGATCCACCAGAGCTCTGTGGACTTCTTCATGGACTCCAGTGGAGAGTGCCCCTTCCTGATCCTCCCGCTCACCTTCTACCACGTCCTGGACGAGCACAGTCCTCTCACAGGCCTCAACGCAGAGAACCTGCAGACCCGAGACTTCGAGCTGCTGGTGACCCTGAACGCCACCATGGAGTCCACCGCCGCCACGTGCCAGAGCCGCACCTCTTACGTCCCGCAGGAGATCCTCTGGGGGTACGAGTTCAAGCCGGTGTTGTTCAGCACCACGGGGGGCCGATACGTGGCAGATTTCAACTTCTTCGACAAGGTGCAAGTCACCAACGATGCGGTTGTCCTGAGTAACAACACGGAGAAGCTCAAACTGGAGGAGGACTACAAGAAAGAATAGAGGACATGTTTTTTTACACCGTTTGATGTAATGGTGAAAGTTAGTTTGGGCTTGATCAGTTGAACTTAGTTTTTATTTTTCAACGTTTTAGACATTTACATAAACAGTAGAATACTCATTACCTTCCAGCAACCCAAACCATCTTGGCATTACATTGAGAATAACAGATTGCTGCAGGAATGAGTCAGCATTTGTCGACCTCTTGGTTACCTTTTCTCAAAGTTGATGGGTTTTCTGAATTAGTTTTTTAGATACAGGAAATGTACCCTTCGGTTAACACGAGCTTCAGAGACTTTCCAACAATGCAAACAATCCTTGGCTCTATATAGGAGAATATTACTCTACTGCAGATACTTTTCCTAAAAACTGAAAGAGTTCACATTTTTGTGCTTCCAGTTTCATCATCTCAAGGCCGAGGTTTTTTACCGAAGCTGTTCTCCCTGGCAACTTGCACACATTGTGATTGCACAGAGTACAAGTGCTAACCAGAGGTATACGACAGAAAAATAAAAAGAGTTGTAGTATAATATAAATATATATACACATGTGACAGGTATAAACAGACTGAATGTATTTACACTGAACATGATAGAGGACATTATTGAACAGCAGTTTAGAAATTGGAAACACTATAAGTCAGGTATACAAATATACGGTTTAATACAGACACTATCCACAGAATAAATACAGATCGTTATTGACCCATCAGAATGAGGCTCACATAAACACCAGGGTTCTTTATATGACTTTGGGAATAGCAAACAAGCGGTAAGAAATCCAACTGTTCAAGACATGATTCATGTGAAGATACAAAACGTGTTAGTTGTGTTTTAAGGATGAGTAGCTGAACATGGAAGAGTGAAATATTGTGTGTGAAAGGTTTATGATGTAGATGTTTTGTAAATAAAGAAAAGTAAAAATATATGTTTTTTGTTCCAAAGTTTAGTAGTTTACTCAAAGAAGCGTACTTTAACTTTGTAGTAACGCCACTTCTATTATGTTTAACAGATCGAATTGTTATTTCACCACTGCCCACTGCATGCTGGCATAGACACTTTAGTAACAAATGGTTTCAGAGAATGACTGTTGGAGCAGTTTGAAGGACAGAACAGGTTCAGCCCCCGTCTCAGGTTGTGTTTAGTTGTTGTTGTGGAAACACAGCGTGTGCGTGGCAGCTGTATCTGGTCCAAACAAATCTTTAAATCCAAAACACAACTGATCTTTTACTGCCAGAGACAGAGGGGTTCTAACAGCTTGACTAGAAAATGCTGTCTGATGTGAGATCATCTAATATAAATTAATAAAACAAGGGTTTTCATTCTAATACTTATACTCCTCTTCAGAATGAATTATTGTTCAATTTGTGTGGATTCCAGCGCATGTGGGTTGTGAAGAAGACGCCTTCATCACAGTTGGCATAGGGGCATGGTAAAAGACACATTGAGGGAAACACATTAATAACTTTGCTGGACATTGGTACAATAAAACCCAACTCATTATTTGTTCAAGACAGCTTTATTTGAAGTCATACACAGCAATGCTGTGCCAAAGTAACCTGCTTACCCTCTCGTTCAAGGTTGTGAAGTCCAAGCAGAGCAACAGAATAATGCAGCGTTAAGTAGAGGCTCAATCAGTGGAAGTACCTGTGCTCAATTGGAGCATGCATGTAGTGCATGGGCACGGGTGACAATTTTCTTCCAGGTCTTAAAATGTTATTGGTTAAGGCTTCTGTGGTCAGAAATGTAGAATATGTTGACCTATTTCAGGGATGCAAACTCATCAGGTATGAAAAAGGTGACAAGGATCCGAGCCCCCGGCTCCCCCACCCCACGGAATATCGGCTTTAAAATGAGGAATAACAGGATTTTAGCAGTCAGAACAACTAAAGCAGCAGTGTTAATAATAACAGAAACGCCAAAGAGTCACATCTAATAGAAATATATAAAAGCATTTATTTTAAATTGTGTAGCAGTCAGTTTATAATTTTGGCAGCACTGTTGAGCATTTTGAAAATGTATTTTCATGCCTCTGTGCAAGGCTTAGTCTTTCTATCTTTATAGCCACATGGTGTAAAGTAACTAAGTTCATAAACTCAACAAGTACTATACTTGGGCACAATTTTGAGATACTTGTACTTTATTTAAGTATTTCAATGTTTTGCTACTTTGTTCTTCTACTCCACTACAGTTCAGAGGTACATGGTGTACTTTACTCCACTACATGTATTTAATACCTTTAGTTACTTTACAGATGTGGATGAATGATGTGAAATATAATCAAGTGTTAAATCCGACTTTAGTTCCACCTGGAGTAAATCACAAGCACAAGCTACCTTGCAGTATACAAAGTCATTCAGACTAGCTGCACCTTTACCAGCTTTGAGAACACTTTCATGATCAATCATTATAAAACACATCATATATGTTATTCTGAAATGGACCGATCTGCACAATGACTACTTTTACTGTCGCTATTTTAACTATATTTTGATGATAATACTTTTCTACTTTTACTTGAGGAACATTTTGAATGCAGGACTTTTACTGTAACAGAGTATTCCTACACTCTGGTACTATTACTTTTAAGTTCAAGATCTGAGTACTTCTACTTTTACTCAAGTACAAGACCTGAGTACTTCTACTTTTACTCAAGTACAAGATCTGAGTACTTCTACTTTTACTCTAGTACAAGACCTGAGTGCTTCTACTTTTACTCAAGTACAAGACCTGACTTCTATATATATATATATATATATATATATATATATACTTATACCCACCTCTGTTTATAGCCTATGAAAAAAACTATTAGAAATAGAAGGCTAAAGCTAACGTTAGCAGATAGTGACAATGTATGCTAGCTAGCTAGCTCAACGATTCCTTAAATAATATTGCCACAGAAAAACTTTTCAGTTCCCATCACGCTCTGCCGCTCCGACAGGGAGCTCTGCTCTGAACACTTGAACGGCCCGTTCTAACAGCTGTTCAT